TCTCAGACTGCTCAAAGCTCTTTATGTACATCAACTCATTTAATCCACACAGCTATCCTAACTTCAGTACTAATACAAGGCTTAGTTCACAAAGGGGGAAATTAAGGCCTAGAGACTAAGAAACCAGTCAAGGTCACAAAATAAGCAATAGAGCTAGGATCAAAGTAGAGCAGAATTTGCAACTGTATATATGTTTTGACACAATCAAAGCCCATAGTGACCCATCAGAATAGTGCTTTCTACACCTTCCCGCAGATGCATCCTTAATGGAGCACAGTGCAACTCTAATGAAGCAACCTCTGGCTCTACAAATTCTAAACAAACAGATCTGCAAAAACACCAAACCAGCTCGCATGCAACACAGTTGCATTACCTCAAAGAAGAGGAGTTTCGGGAGTCTCCATGTCACTTGCTTGAGAGCAATCCCGAGTAAGATACCACCGACCAGACAAAAGTATGACTGAGGGGCAGGTGGGCCACAGGTACCACTTGGTCTCCACTTAAAGGTCCATGAACCAAAGACAAAAACCACAGGCATTTCTCTAAACTGTATTAAGTAATACACCCTTAAAGACCAGTCCTGGAGGTGGGCGACAGAACCACTGAGCTAAATCCCCAGCCCTGGAAGACAAAGTCTTCTCTTGTCCCAAAAGCTCTTCTTTCCCACCTATCTGTCCCCCACCATTAATACAGTGTGAATAACATGACAGAACTCTACTGTATACTGTTGTGTATTGGCTACAATTTTAAAATCTTTGGCCTAAAAAGTAAACCTGTAAACTACCTGAGATAAGGAACGGTATTTTATTCTTTTGTACATAAACATTAGCTAGGGCCATTTCAAGTTCACAATAGATGCTCAATAAATCCTTAATTAAGGAATCAGAAAAGCTTTTGGGATATTTATTGAAAACAGTCTCATTCAATAAAGAGTAGATTTTACTGATGTTTTCTATACAAACATATTCTCTTATTTCAAGAAAGCTTTTCTTATGTCATTTTACCGGCATAAAACCCAATAAAGAAGTAAATACAAACCTCTGGTTCAAACTACAGTTTGGAAAAGGAAAAAAACAACTTGTAGGAAGAACTTATTGCGACAGCAAGGTAACAGCATAATGGCTTTATATGCTTGGTTTAGCTATAATGAATAGTTCACATAAATCACACCCAGGCCCTGATATCTTAACTACTGGTAAGGGTATGTCCTGTATCAGATTAAAACACTGAACAAATATGTTCTCTTATACTCATTAAGTTGTAATGATCATTCACAAAAAAGTGTTTATTAAACTTGGGTCATTGGCACAACACACCTTGGGGGAAGAAAGTCTACAGAGATCTTGACCTTGCAATTGAGATAAAATCCTACAAAGAAAACTATTTATGTACAAACCAGTTCAGCACATATTATAAAGTCAGTTGTCCAAGACAGACCTCAAGGCCAATGGATGTGGTGGTGGTTTTGTTTTATGTGGCACTGGGGATTGAACCCAAGGTCTTTGAACTGAGCTATATGCCCAGCCTTTTTCTTTTCTTTTAATTGAGTTTATTGGCACATTTTAGGTATACAGTACAGTTACACTCATTATTGAGATCTTGTACCTTTACATGACAGGTCTTGGTTCTCATTTTTTCCCCTTGTCCCTGCCCTCCCTTCATTTCTTTTCTTTTTTTAAAACCCTGGGTCTCATTAAGTCCTTGTGAACTTGAGATCCTCCTGCATCAGCCTTCTAGAGTACTGGGATTACAGGCATGCACCACCACAACCAGCTGTTAGTGTTTTCTATGAAACTAATTGAAATTTATAGCCACCTGAATTTAGTGTCCTGCCTTACACAGATCCCAGGACCAGAAACATTCACTGGATCTGTAGGCACCTTGGAGATGATGAAGGGCCCTGGCTTTAAAGCCTGGGTTTGAGTTTGGGCTCTTATGTGTCAGAGTTTGAGACCCTGGGCATGTTATTTAACTCCTGATTTTTGACCCCCTTTTCTGCAAGACTGAGATCAAAACAAAATGCTACAGAGTGGCATTAAAAATAACACACAGAGAATGGTGCCAAGTACCAGGTAAGTCCCAAATTGTCATTATTATATAATAAATATAAACAGTCAGGAGAAGAAAGGTGATACTTAGGTGAAACCAGGTAAAACAAACGAGGAAGTAACAATATTCAGAGTCGACCTCTTCTCTACATCACCTATTAGTTCTCAACACATTGTTTGGTATCATGCAGATCAAATTTATTTCGTCTACCATACTCAGTATCAAATCTACTTTCCAGCTGAGCATGGTGGCTCAAGCCTGAATCCCAGCACTTGAAAACTGAGGTAGGAGAATCGCCAGGGGTTTGAGATCAGGCTGGGCTACACGGAGAGATTTCTGTCTCAAAAAAGCAACAAACAAAAAATCTACTTTCTAAAACACTAGTGACTTTTTCTTTTTTTAAAAAAATCTTTCAACAAGATCAGATTTTTCACTTGTACTTATGCTGAAAACCGTTCACCAAAACATACCTGGAAAAGAGTAGGATTCTACCTAGTCTGAGAACACTGGCCAGGCAGTAACACACATTACTTGGATTGGTTCAGAGGAACCCTCAGAAAAGTCTGTTTTCCTAGCTGGCTACTTGTTTTTCTCCTTTCAAATTAGTAGGGAGTAAGCACCAATTTCCCACTCAACTGCAGGGGCCTCCGGCACCTTTGGATCTATCCAGATGGGTCCGCACCACACCCTGAGGCTGACGGCCCTCGTTTCTAAGGTAGTGCTTCTCAAGTTTCAATCCCCATCTCATTCCAATAGAGATTCTGATTCAGGGGGTGTGGGGAGTAACCTAAGATTCTAAGGAATGTTCAATGAAGGTGTGCCCACACTTAGAAGCAGCAAAGGGCTACCGGGCAGGACAATCAGAGCCCACGAACCAAGGACACAGCATTCCACCATTCTTGGGACTCAAAAGCAAAATGAAGGCAGCAACTTCCACCTGACTTTGTTTTGAAGACATTAGTAAGTTACAGAATAATATAAGCCAGTGCAATATATATTGACATCCATAAGGAAAATATAAAATAAAACAACATACACAAGGACTGTTACCACTTTCTCCAGCTGAAAATATCCTCTCCCAGCCCCCAAATTCAACTTCTTTATTTTTTTCTCTGACATAAAACATCTCTGCTACATCACAGGCTTCCTTTGGGTAGTGAAAACACATTCCAAGATGATGCTGGCATCTCCAGTTAAGATAGGATAAGAGAAACACAACAGAGCTTTAAGAAATCTGGAAAAGTTGGCAGTAACAGTGTGACAAATAGAATAATCAAGCACCCAGGGTTTCTCCAATACTGACACGCATTCTGTACTGTCACTGATTTATGTGAAGTCTGACCTTTACGGAATGAACAAATGAGCAAACCATCTCAGAGACACTTTCCATGTTACATTAGAGGCTTTGTAGAGCAGTGATAGGAAAACAATGTGTCCCAAGAAACCAAGAATTATCATGGCCATGTGGATGAAACACAGAGCTGGAACCAGGCAAACAATCCTACTGCCAACACCGCCAGGTCATTTCACCAGCTGGGTGACCTTGCTCATGCAGTTAACCCTCAAGTCTTCCACCTGAACATACTACTTCATCCTCTACACACATCCAATTTAGTATTCACCCCGTGTTCCCGAAGAAGGGGCCCTTCCTGAGCCTTAGAAGTGACTGTTGATTCACCTAAGTCAGTGGTGGCGAACCTATGGCACAAGTGCCACAGTGGACTGTTTGTATCATTGAAAGCTCTAAAAGATTCGCCGCGATCACAGACGTAAGTGATGGTTGTCATTCCATTCCCATTGCCAAGAACAGATTTTAAAACACAAGCATAAGGTGTAACAGATGGTACTTTTGTACCACTAAACGGACCAGCTGTGGAACCACTTTAATCTGAGCCCTTTGAGTACAGATAAGACCTTGATACTCAACTACTTTGAAACTTTCACAATTTGGTAGTTGACTCATTTTTACGTGAAAATTTGTCCCAGTGCTCATTGTTTGTTTGGTTCTCCACAAGGAAGCTAAAACTTACCAGTGACTTGCTACCATTTCTAGTCAAAATAATTTGATAATTGTCAAAACCAATTAGTACCAAGTACCAAGGTACCACTATATGTGGAATATAGTTTCAGCCAAAAGCATTATGATTGATCCATTGGCAAGACATAATGAATAGCAAAACTCTTGTTTCAAGTTCACTTCTGGGAACTGATATATTATCTTACACTAGCCAATAGTTATTCTGGTACTCCAGGAGTGACTCTCAGGGGCAGTCTGACGTGAGTACTAGGACCTCACCTAGTTCCTTTAAAAGGAGGCAGTCACAAATACCTATGGCATGTGTCTCCCGCATCCAAGAAGAGAGCAGGAGAGAAGACAAGAATTCAAAGACTGAATAAAGCAACTCAATCCTCACACTTCGGAAACTCTTGAAGCAAGAAAGTATTGCTCTCTCCTTCAGGGAATAAGAACCACCTGTTCTTACTGTTCCTACCTGGGAAGCAATTTAAAACTAGATTTTCTAGCCCTGTTCGGCTTCAGTTTTAACAAGGGCCAGGTGCCTGCTGTAACAAGCACCCAGGTGGTTCCGTGGACCGTATTTTCAGAAAGAATATTTGTCTTCTCCAAATTTGAAATTCCGAAGTTTGTAGTTTTCCCTCAACACAGCCACGTCATCCATCCATAATCCCCCCACCTTTCTACCACAGAGGCTTGACTATGCGTGATAACTCTGTCCCGACACAAGGTCAAGAGACAGCCAAATGCCAAGTATTTCCTTGTTGACTTTGTATTTACAAAACAAAACGCAAACGCAAAAACAGCCATTTGTCTTGGCCATGCCCTGCTGTTTACACCCAAGGGCCAATTCACTCAATGCTTTCCCCTCTTCCCTCCACTGGAGCGTTAAACACAGTCAGGACCTCAGGGCACACCCGGTAGGCGCACACTCGGTTGCCTGGCAGTGCCCGGGCGCACAACACGTCTGTTCCCAAGGAGCATGCGCCCCGCACCTTCGCGCACACACGCGGTCCCCACTTGCAGAGCCGAGCTGCCGTCCCATCCAGTCAGGAGGCGCTTACCTGAAGCACGTGGTGAGCTCGCCCGAGGGCTTCAGGCACGGGTACTTGGTAGTCGCGATTTTGTTTTCTGAGCAAATTTCTCTACGAAAAAGGTGGAGAGGAGAGGCTGAGCATGGTGGGGGGTGGGAGTAGTGTGTGTCCTGGCATCTGCCTTCGGGCGCTCGGGGCGGGCGCTGGTCCCCGTGCTCCTCGGCCGAGCTGACTCCAAGGACAGGGCGAGCAGAGCGGACCCAGCCGGAGGCCGAAGGCTGAGGCAGCGGTGCGCAGGATATCACAGCGCCCGACCCACGGATAGGGGAGCCAGGTGAAGGAGGAGGCTGTTACCCAAGAGCACAGTTAGAAGTCGCCCGGGACAGCTGAGCTGCCGACCGGTGGCGGGAGGAGCAAGGGCGCGTGAACGGCCGCGGAGATGGGCAGCTGGGGGCCGCCCGCACCCCGCCAGCCAGGCGCAGCACGCAGAGCTTCTCGCCCTCCACTGGGGCTGGCGACGCTTACCTGTCGGCGTCCTCCGGCTCCTCTCTGTAGGTCCACGTGTGTCCCAGCGCCAGGAGCAACAGCAGCGGACCCAGGCTCCTGCGCAGCCTTCCCCTGGCCGCTCCTCCTCGGCTGGAAGGAGGCGGCGGCACCATCAGGGAAGCTCCCGGCTTCTTCCCCGCGCCTGAGCTCGCTCTCCCCGCCCTGAGCTCTGCTTCGCCGCCGCCGCCGCCACCACCGATTTCTCTCTTCCCGGCAGGGGGCGCCAGAGAGCAGGAGCGCTTGCTCCACCTGCGCGCGGCTCAGGGGCTCCGGAGGCTTAGCCGCAGGGGGTGCTTAAGGTGAAGAATAGGGCTAATAGGAGAAGAGATGCTAACTAGCAAACTCCGCAGCGAGGCAGGTAAAAGTGGTGCCTGTGGTTCACGCCCGGCGCGAGGACCCGGGGCCCAGGGACACTCCGGCTGAATTGACTCTGGCTCGACTTGACTCCGGGCTCTCCCTTCCCCTCGTCCCTCTTCCTCCTCTGAGAGAAGAGCGCGGGGTGTGGAAAGCAGGCGTTGTTTGCATGTTGCACCGGGGTCGCACGCCCAGCAGGAGGAGGAGGAGCCGATTTTCACCCGGGGGAAGGGGAGGGAGGGAAGGAGAGGGGCTAATAAGCTTCCTTCCTGTTGTCTGTTGACAACAAGCCCAAGACCAAACCTACGTTTGCGTTCCCCCCTTGCAGACCTACACAGGGCTCTCAAGGATCCCAGGTTTTATTTTTGCCCTCAGAATAGAGCTGGAAGTGTGAGACAGCTAGGGCAGGGAAGGAGCGCGCGTTACTCTCGGGTCCTGCTCCCTGTGAGTCTATGCAGCCTTGCTTGTAGATGACCTGTAAAATCCGGGGAGAGGACAATTGTAATTCTTATTAATTGGCATCTTAACGCTGTTGCACTTGAGGAGTTTTGTCAAAAACAAATTCGTGACATAGACGTTCACCACAGAGCCAAGCAAGTGAATATGGGCCAGAAAGTGGTTGAAAGCTAGAGGTTTGATGTTAATGCCCATTCCCTAACAATGCGTTTCGCGTCCCAGGACAAGGACAGATTGTAAAGTGTTCGCAAGTTACCCGTGTTAAGCAGCTATTTTGATCAACACAGTATTTTAACTGCCTAAATTATCCCACGCGTCACATACATATTGACATTTTTGTAGCAATAACATGGGCATTCTTCTGTAGAACCCTACATTTTTTCAAACGTCTTCAATATGTATGATTTTATTTGATTCTCACAATATCCCTTGAACCTAAGCATCTCATTTCTTAGTTCAGTGAAGTGGATTTTCCTACAAAATTTACGTAGAGATGGGAGACATAAAGCAAACTTGACATTAAAATATGGTGCTGCTAGTTAACAAAACCTAATTTTCAAATGGTAATTCAGCGGTCACTTCAGAATCTTACAGAACTTTTGAGTAACAAATGAGGCATCAGGAAAAAAAAAACAAAAACAACAAAAAAAGAACACCTGCCTTCAAACCTAGGCGAAGTGGTTTTGTAGGTGAATGACCAACCTCAGACAGTTAGTTACTCTACCTTTCTGAAATTCGGCTTTCTCAACTGTAAATGGAGGGCTCTGCCTCAAATTTTATAATTATCAAATGAAGTGTATAGAAAGCAGCTTTGCACAGTGGGCATGTATTGAGTGCTCAGTAGACATTTAACTCATTATTTTAACATTATTGTACAGAAATTTAGGTTTTAGGTTTCTTTCCTTTCTAGCTATTTACTATCTAGATGCATAGGAGTCTCTTTGACAATTGTTTGGGTTCCAAAAAAGAGAAACCTCACTAAGCACATGAAAAATAAACTTGTCCTGGATCTTAACGAAAAATGCATTACTTTAAATTGTCACAATAATTTTTGATCCCATCTTGGAAGGAAGAGCCATCCTGCAGGCAGAAAGTTCCATTTTTATTTTCTTTCCAATCCCTCTATTTTGGAATAACTTGCATTCTTTTTTTTTTCTCATCTTGTTTTTTCTACTATTCTAATGTGGCTATTAGGTCTACAAAGAATAGAGTGTGGTGTTGCAGAGTGGAGGCTTCATTAAATGGTACTTAGTAAGCCACATGTGTGAACATGCAGATTTTCAAGGAAAGTAATGCAAGCTGCAAAATGATAAAAGCTGAACCACATCCATAACGTGCAACTGTGTGGCACAAATTTGGTGTAAAAGTCTGCTTTGCTGCCTCCTTATTTTAAATCGCTTACACTGAACACCTATGAGGATGAACACTTGGGAAAATGCTGATTAAGGAAATGGGCCAGATTTGACTGGGGAGCAATCTCATGGGTGGGTGGTCAGAGCATTTCTGCAGGAGGTGAGCTGCAGCTAAGACCTTTTGAAAAACCGTTGCCTGCAGGCCTGGAATTTCAACCCATTGGCAGCTTCTGACAGCAGACACTTAGTGCTGGGGGTGGGGGCTGGGCAAGAGAGACGGTGAGGTGGAAGCAGATGAGGATAGCCATTTATGGAGACCAGTCACTGAAGAGGTAGACTTCCCTGCAAAAAAGCAATCTGCATTTGCTTACATTGCAGCCTGCTTGGGAGATGCCAGTGCTGAGGCTGTGTGTGGTAGAAACCTCAAGAGCTTTAGCTTTTCTCTCTATGTACCCATACGCTCTGCACAACTCTGTCCAACCACAGGCCTGCTTCTGATGCTCTTCCCTATCCCCTTATGTATGAACAACTAGACTAGCATGAGAGAACTTGCCCCTTGCCTCTTTCATAGGAGTGTTGCTGTGATTAATGATATGGACCTAAATGCTCCTGGAGGGAGGCCTTGTGTGATTATTTCTTTTCAGCATACCACTCAGCAATGTTTTCCATAAAGCCCTGTCAGTTGTCCTGAAACAAACCAGAGAGTGGATAGTTACACAATTTACCATGTCCTAGGGGGCTGTGCCTGGGGCTCCCTAGTAGAATCTGTCTTATAGGTTAGATCCCTGATAGAACAGGTATTGTTAGGCAGTACTGCTGATTGTTTTCTGGGAGCCAGTGAGTTTGACTGGCTGGAGAAAAGAGGCCAACATTCAAAAGCAAAGCAAGGCATGAGGGTGTAGCTCAGTGGTAGAGCTTGAGAAAAAAAGGAAGAAAAAGAAAAGAAAAGTGAAAGGAAAACAATGGTTAAAAATTAGGCTGGCCAAGGTACTTGATTTTAAGGAACTCCAACATCTTATTTGAAGAAAATCTGCACAGTATCAGAAAAGAAAGATAAGTTACAGTACTGCAAAGAACAGACCTCCACATTTGGGACATTTCAGTTCCCTATTTGTTTACATTTTTTCCATAAAGATTTATGGCCCACAAAAATATGCTATTTTATAGTGTGTGTATAATATCAGACAAAGCAGTTATGATAAAGGAAAAATCAGGATTGAATAATAAAACTGAAGTAATGGTAATATTGAAAGTACTGTATAAGCAGAGAATCCTGTGCTATATTTAAAGCAGATCACAAATCAGTTCTCAGATTCTCAGAAGTCAATTCAGGATAATTACATGATCAGTTACAAGAGTTAAGGTAAGTGTAGAGGAAAGGCCTATAAATTTCTTTTTTGAAATGACAGCATTTTCCTTCTGGTCTTCCTGAAATGTAGAAAAAGTCACCTAATTGTAGAGCAAAAGACTTTTTCATAAAAACAAGACTCAGCAAGAGTGAGTAAAGTTCATGCTATACAGAGAGTGATCAAGATAAGCTACTCCTAAAATAAGCCCTGATAACTTTCCTTCAATTTCAGTTTTGATTGACATGCAGCCAGGTCTGCATAGAGAATTAGGGTTATATCTGAAAAGTGCTAAACCACACCAGTCTCCAAGCCATTCTATGGAACTGCGTGATGCAAAAAGAGTCAAAATGTTTTTAGTACAATGAATTTTAAAGACCTAGTTTTGGGGTGTATATATTACCTCCACACAAAGCTAGTCATAGCTTTAAATTGTACAAGTTCTGAAAGTTTACCAAGGCTATGGGTCTCTGGAATTTTTTCTCCCAAGCAGGAAAATATGTTGAATGTCTATATCTACGATAGAATCTCACAATTTTGCCCAATTTTAAAGCAGAAGCAATTGTAAAAGATTAGTTGAATTTATGTGTTAGGGTCCCTTGTTCCTTTGCTCCTTTTTGCCTGCCATGAACTATTTCTCCTCTGCAAAGCCACCCTGCCTTGGAGCCAGCTGATTAGTGACTGAAACCTCTACAAACTGTGAGCTAAATAAACCTTTCCTCCTTTAACTCTGTCAGGTATTTTGTCTCAGCAGAGTGACTAAGATTCCATCCATGCTATCTCATCTAATTTGCTGTCCATAAGAAATTTGCTTTGTCAAGTGGATGGCTAAGGATAGAGACACATTGTTATAGAACAGCCCAATATAAGTAGCAGAATTGACTTTGGTGTCATTAACACTGTGCTTTACTCCAGATGTTGCTCTGAGAACAATAGTCAAAAAATAGAATATATATTTCCCCTTAAACAGTGACTGTGTTTCTGAGTAGTGCCTATCCAGTTTTTACATAGCTTAAATCATGGCTCAAATGTATTCTGGGAGATGACTAGTTAAACATGTGTGGCACCAAATATGGAGTGGTAAAAAATACTCTCTTCAAATCTACCCACTAAAGACATTATGAGTTATTTGGGGAGGGGGAATTTGAACCAACAGTCTTGTACATGCTAAGCTTTGTGCGCTACCATTGAGCTACACCTCCAGCTGTTGGTCTTTTCTGCTTGAGTGGCACCTGAGAGTTTGCAACAGTGTGCACAAGAAGCCAACAGTTTCCGGTGGAATGGTTAGATTTAAAGAAAACACAGCAGTCCATATTGTGTAGAAAAATCTTGGAGTTCGAGTTAAAAGTTTGTACATTACAACAGAATGTAGAATAGATTTCCTAACCCAAATGGAGACGCGTTCATGATATAATGCAGGAAAGTTACATTCCTGCAAGGTACTAATCATTATCATTTTCTGTGACTTTGACATGAAGAATTTTTAAAAATATATTAAGGTCTTGGTACACTTAGACATTTGTATCAAAGTTCACTAGAGGATCAGATTTAATGTAAAATATATAGATATAAAAGATTTACTAAGTAGGCATACCTATAGAATCAGGAGAGGAAGAAGACAAAATGGCCGCCATGCACTGGACAATTGGAGAACCCAGTTGAAAGTCGAAGGCCTGGAGCTCACTGCGTGTCTGCTGTGAGTCTGTGTTAGTAAGACAAGTGTCTGTGTCAAAAGCCTGAAGGACATGGAGACAAAGACTGGAGCTCCTCCAAAATAATAGAAAGGGAGACTTCTTTCTTCTTTCCCTTTTACTCCATCCGGGCTATAAGCCTCTTGGTTGGTGCCACCCATGTGCAGGCTGGGTTTTCCCTCTTCAGTTTTCAGGCTACATGTTCATCATCTAGACACACCCAGAACTGTGTTCCACTAGTCCAACAGATGTTTCTTTTTCCATTCAAG